TGAGCCCGCGATATGGTCATGGGATACTGGTCAGTGGCTATCCTGTTTTGACAGCTGTCAATTGACCATATTGTGAATGTCCAATGTAAAAGATGTGGACTTGGCAAGACACGCCTGAGACACCCCTCCCTTCCTTTTGATAGTTTCCCCTACCCCACCCGTACAATCCGTAGACGCGTACGTACGTACGCTCGGTCAATCACGTGACAACTAAAGGAAAAGAGGTTGACCATAATCTATGGGTATGGTGCTCTGTCCCACGCGCGCGAAGCGCGCGTGGGAGCCCCGCTATAAATTGATTATATGAGCTAAAGCATCGGCTATAATTTGAATTGACTGTTTTATGATGGAAATGGAAATTCTATCATGGCCAGCTGTCTTACCTAGTCGAAAAGCATTGGAAATTTCCGATAGCTCATTTAGAGTCACTGGATCAAAAAACACCGATTGACAAAAGTGACCAGGGAGAAAACTGCGGTGAGAGACAGACGAGTGAATTTCCTTGGCTAGATTAGGTCCGATACTAGAAAAATTACCACAGAATCTATTAGCAATGTCTACTGGATCCGTAATTTCTTGGTTGTCAACTTTAAAGATGGAATTGATTTTAAACGCTTTCTTTTGTCTTAATAATTTCGTTTAGAACTCTCCACGTAGCTTTGGCATTTGATTTAGAAGCATCGATTTTCTTTTCGTAATATATACGTTTAGCAATTCTTAATGAGTGATTCAATTTGTTTTTGTAATTTTTATAACGAATTTCATAATGCGATGATTGATTAGTGAGACACTGACTATATAACTTATTTTTCGTTCTTATCGACTTCAGAAGTCATTTCGATAACCAAGGCTTACTCAAACGGTAGATGCTCACCTTAGTTTTTTTTAAAGGAAAACATGAGTCAATGCCGTAGAGTATTGTTTGAAAAAGCTGTTATAGGCATTATTTGGATCATCAAGAGTGGCATACTGAGACCAGTCAATTCTCTCCAAATGCGATAGAAACTTAGTTGTGTTGACTTGATTTACATCTCGAACAAAAACAGTTCCATTAGATGCTGAGATTGAGGTGTCGAAATGAATAGAAAATATAGGCAGATGGTCAGAAATGTCATTGAAAAACAGTCCACTCCTAGATCTATCGAAAAATTGGTTGACGAAAATGTTGTCAATTAAAGTTACCGAATGACAAGTTATTCTTGTAGGGCGCGTAATCAATGGAAAGAACATATTTGAATATAGCGCATCTAAAAATTCACCAGTAACGGAATGACTTTGGTGGTTCATTAAATTTAAGTTAAAGTCACCCATTAAATAACATACCTTATTTTCTTTTGAAATCTTACTTAATAGCTCATTGGTCATTGTTAAAAATTCATCAACGTTTTCGTTTGGCGGCCTGTAAATCACATCAGTAACAATATTGCTATTCATAAAAATTATTTACCAAATTTACTTTTGGGTTTTCAACAAGAGAGGATAAAGGGGACAGAGAAGGCATTCCCCATACACACCCTATTCCATAGGTAATTCGTCTCGAGTTATTTTTGGAATCGGGATAAAGTTACCTCGCGCGCTGCGTGGATGTTTCGTGGAGGTTTCGCATGACTAAACGCCGTGAAAAACATGTCGGGCGAAAGGCAATGAAAGCGTAAAGAGATCGAGAGCATTCCTGAATACTGACGCGAAATGAGTCGGTGCTCACCTGGGAAAAGGAAATCGCTAGACTCTTTGACAACCCGTGAAATCAGTTTAACTCGAAGTTGTCGTAACCTCAGTGCTTTAATAAAATGACAAATTTCGCCGGGTCTATTGAAACTGGTCGTTTGTACAATAAAGCAAGTAGGACGCCAAGTGTTATTTTTGTTGAATAATGACAGACTAATAAAAGAATAAATATTAAACCGGAATTTCTCTCTTCAAACTGTAAATTATAAATGATCCTCTGAGAGAATATTCAGCGTGTAAAGGATTTCTCTGCTG